AAAAAAAGACAAAAGCTTAATGCCCTCCTTATCCCCCCGTGTGGCTAAGCTATATTTCAGAGGGAGCCCAGCACTCGACTGTTATTTCAGTGCCAGCTGGTGTTGTGTGTCTCTGAGTGAGAGAGGGATTGTGGTTATTACAGTACATCCACATTGATTGCCGTGCAGATAGTGTCAAGGGCTCATTTATGATTGTTTCATTCACTTCGTTGCTCTGCCTGTTTGTGTCTCTTTCTGCTCTACTTTCTGTATAACTGAGGACCCTGATGCCCTGGCTCTGAGAGATAAGATGCCAACGTTTAAAGTAGACTGTCATAAAGCCTTCACATAATGCCAGCCATCATCACGGCAGAGCGATGAAACGTTATGACTTATCGTTACCTTGGTGTCTTTTGCATTATACCGTAGTTTTTGTGAGTGAGAGTGAATAACAGCTTCAGTCATACACACCTGATTTTATTCTTGAGATGTAAAAGCAAATAAATTGAAGGCAACATTAAAAGCACATCATTTAATTACACGCCAGCACACTGAGATTGAATACAAACATATCTGTGATTAAAAGCATAAAGAATACATCTTACAAAACAGACATAATAGAGTCTCTGACACAGTTTCTGGCAACACTAGGATGTGGCAGCTTTATTGTTCATAGTAGCATTTGGAAGCTTTTTGGCTGTCAAATCATAATTGAAGGATATTTTGGAATGGAATAATGATTTCAGTGTTGTCTAAAGAAATTAATGCAATCAAATCAAAGTGTGAGTTTGATTTGAAAAGTTCACTAAATCAGAGCAGTGCATCTCCTGACCTGCGGCTGACCTGAGAGATATCACATTCAGCACAACAGTGAGACTGCCGTCTACCCAATTTCACAAGTCTGCATGTGAAAAAAGCTCCGTATTTGAAAACACTGCTACAAAATCAGGATACTGACCTGAAACTGCCTTTCTCTGGCTTTGCATGCCTCTCCGATCCCACTGTCTTCTTTGTGTTGTTTTCTCCTGATGATGCCATAGATAAAAGTTTTCATAGAAACTACACTCGTCTGACTCGGGGACCATTTCTTTGAATTTTTATTCTTGTGTTTTATTGCAGGTATGCCCAAATGTTTTATGTGTATTTCTTTACCTTCTCTTATCTCCAATTTTTTGTTGCCTAACAAATAGCGTTTCATTCAAACACATAATTTCACATCACTTCTGAACGTAACTAACACCAAAAAATAGTTATGGTTTTACTCTGTAAAATTGTAAAAACTGTTTCTATTAATTTATTTTTTTTATTCATATATCTTAGATAAAATCAATTTCCTAAGGTCCCAAATCTGAGTATTTGTTGGCTTCTATGCCCAACTGCTGTCCTTGAGGAATATAGAATTTACTTAAGTTTCGGGTTTAAATGGAATCTTCATCAAGAACTTGGTGATTTCTTGATAAAGATGACATCTGTATAATCAAATGTAGGCTGTGTATTTGTAAAATATAAAAGGATAATAAGGACAGTGATTTGTGCATCAATTAATGCATTTTAATGTAAGATTCAGAAAGTGTGCTAATGTAAAGTGTTCTGCTTAAGATATTCAGAATAGCTCACAGCGGAGGGGAGATTTAATTGCAGCTTTTCTGCAAGCGGACCTGGCTCACACTGTGTTGTGCAGATCTATTACTTCCATCGGGGCAGCTGGAGGAGCAGATAGCAGAGAGCAAGGGGACAGCAGGAGGTTATGTTGGGTTTAATGTGCTGCGAGCCGTGGCAGAAAGCAGGGCCAGCTCACGTGGAAACCCAAGCTCGATTTATCATGGACCACAAGTCAGAACAGAGCAAGATTAAATTGAACACACCATCCTCCATATTTCTTATTTTTCCCCATCCTTTAAATAACTATGGCTTCTTTTCTTTTGCCTTCATCAAACTCTTTCCAATGAAAGAAAAGACAAATAGATAGATAGAAATGTTTGTTTTCGCTGATAATTGTGACATGTGACACATACATGACCAATACATGCTCATAGACAACACATCCACCACAATAAAAAACTAAACAAATTCATGTGTGTGTGCAGTTACCTGAACATTTTCAGCAGATGTAACATTTCATGAATACGTATAAATAAATCTTTATTTTGTCGGGAAAAAAAAAGTTTTTAAAGTCGTTATCAAAGTAAAGCTACAGCTTTTCTAAGAAACCATATATGAGCTTGTCTAATGGGACTAATTAGAATTTTTCCAATTTTTTTAATTTTGTCAATGTTTATTTAAATCTGTCAACCAGCTCAAAATTATACATTCTTTTTGAGATGTAATAGAAAATAGGTCATTTCCTCCCTCTATGTACTTTTTAAGTATATGTCCCTACAGAACTGGAACAATTCACTTAGTTTCCTTGAAGGCTCAGAATTTGCATGGTTGAAAGAAATGGTGTTTTAACAGTTGAATATTGTTTTTCCAAAGACTAGAAAAACAACACTCTGATACTGCCTGTGACTGTGTAGCGCTTTTCTTGGAAACAGCAGCAGAGGTGCGAAAGATGACACCTGCTTTGATATTCGGAGTGTATTCTGAATTAAAATGTATTCTAATTGGAAAAAAAACAACAACAGCAAGAGAAAAGATTGTGCATTATCACAATAATTATTCTTCTCTGTGTATTACTTACTGTGAGCTGAGTATTCAGTTCCTCTGAATGCGTCACCTTGCAGGGAATAAAAGGACATGTAAATTAGACTTAGAGATGAATCACATTTAAGAGGGAGAGGATGGAAAAGATATTCACTCTGATTTGATTAATTAGCAAGCTCATTGTGACTTAAAGGAGACAGCCTCTCTCAGAGATAGAAAAAAAGGTTTTAGTGTGTTATAAAACTGCAGTGTTCTCCTGTTTGTTACCAGAATAACAGGTTTCTAATGATGAGATTTTATACTCCTTGGGCTGTGCACCTTGTCAGCTAAAAAGAGTTTGAATGGCGATACAAAAAAATTAGGGAATTTTCTATAATTTCAAGATTATTCTCTCAAACTTAAAAAGAAACAAACATAATTGGTTATGGGCTCTCGCAGACAAGACATAACTTGTGAATCAAGTAAATACCTTCCTAATGCACAATAGGTGATTTTTCAAAATAGCAAAGAAATTTTATCTCAGAGTTGGGTATCAAAACTATTTAGTAAGAAAAGTTAGGGGGCTGTTTATTGTCCCTGAATCTGATTCTGACAATGAACATTTCGAACCCTTTGTGTTTTACTGTGTGTTACCATGTACCAGGTTGAGATTGTACCAAACTGGGACAGTAATATGATTGTTGTTGTACTCTCAGAATAGCAGGTTGGAAAGTATAATTGCTCCTCAGTTTTTAGTCAAAATGGATACAACAATGTGGCAGTCGTGCCACCGTGGGTGCCCGACAGAGTTCCCTTGAGACCACAGTTGTTCAAACAGGTTTTATTTGAGCGTGTGTGCGGCACCCGCACACACACTCTCTCACACAAGCGCACACACACTCACACGCCCGGCTAAGGCTCTTTGTGTTGTCGCCTGTTCCTGCTCGTTCAGAGCTGCTCCAATACCAGTCCCCCCCAGGTCCAGCACACTACTCTTTTTACAGAGGGGAGAGTGATTAGTCAACCGGTTCCAGGTGTGCCCAATCATCTCCCCTGGCACTGCTCACCTGAGCCTTCTCCACCCCTCCCCCCTGCAGCTGAGCGCCACGCCCCCTCCACATACCTCCACCGCCTGACTTAGGCCGGGGAGCCGTCCGGCCTAGCCCACTCCCCCCCCCTCCCCATGGGAACGGGAGAGGAAGTCGGCCACGACCATCTGCGTCCCCGGCCTATGGACCACCCTGAACTTAAAAGGCTGTAAAGCCAGATACCAACGGGTGATCCGCGCGTTGGCATCCTTCATGCGGTGGAGCCACTGGAGGGGAGCGTGGTCCGAGCAGAGGGTGAATGAGCGCCCCAGCAGGTAGTACCGCAGAGCATCGACCGCCCACCGGATGGCCAGGCACTCCCTCTCCACCGTACTGTACCTGGCCTCCCTGTCAGACAGCTTCCGGCTGATGTAGAGGACAGGGCGGTCGACACCCTGCACCTGCTGGGACAGAACCGCCCCCAACCCTCTGCCCGACGCATCAGTCTGCAGTGTAAAGGGGAGACAAAAGTTAGGTGTGTGGAGAAGAGGCTCCCCACAGAGGGTTTGCTTTACCCTCTCAAGCGACACCTGGCACTGCTCCGTCCACTGGACCGGATCTGAGGCACCCTTTCGGGTGAGGTCGGTCAAGGGGCTGGTCAGCTCAGCGAAGTTTGGAATAAACCGCCGGTAGTAGCCGGCCAGCCCCAAAAACCGCCGCACCTCCTTTTTCGTCTTGGGTCTTGGGCAGGCCGCAATCGCCGCCGTCTTGTCCACCTGTGGACGCACCTGCCCGCCACCCAAGTGGTACCCCAGATACCGTACCTCCCTCCGTCCAACCGCACACTTCTTCGGGTTGGCCGTGAGCCCCGCCTGCCTCAAGGACTCGAGCACCGCAGCCACCTGCCGCACATGCTCCGCCCAGGTGTTGCTGTGGATGATCACATCATCCAGGTAGGCGGCAGCATATGCAGCATGCGGCCGCAGCACCCGGTCCATGAGGCGTTGAAACGTGGCTGGGGCCCCGAACAACCCAAACGGAAGTGTGACGAATTGGTACAACCCGTACGGAGTGGAGAAGGCCGTTTTTTCCTTGGACTCTGGCGATAGGGGAATCTGCCAGTAGCCCTTGGTCAAATCCAGCGTCGTGAAAAAACGAGCCGTGCCCAGGCGATCCAGGAGTTCGTCGACCCGGGGCATAGGGTAGGCGTCAAACCGTGACACGTCGTTCACCTTGCGATAGTCCACACAGAACCGGATGG